GCTGAAGCGCGGCGTGCTCATAGCAGACGGAAAGGCTTGGGGTAGATCACGTCAGCAATTGTAATGAACCAATCAATTTATGAACCCACAAGTCGGCCAATAAATCAGCCAATCAATCAGCCAATCAATCAGCCAATCAATCAAAGCCAATAAATCAGCCAATCAATCAGCCAATCAATCAAGCCAATAAATCAGCCAATCAATCAGCCAATCAATCAAGCCAATGAATCAGTTAATCGAAGCATTCATGAACTTAACCAATCCATTGACAAATGGACGTAACCAATAGACCAATCAAGAGACCAATCAATAGACCAACCAATAGACCGAGTTAATAGACTACCGAAGCTGCGCTTGGCCAATCAACTAATGGATCGGGATAGCGACCCGGTTTTGTTCGTTCGGCTCCCAGAATAACACCCCACCACCACCACGCCCCTCCTGCACCAAAGCTGGGTAATGGACATCCCAGATCGGGACAGGCCGATCCGCGAGTTCCTATCTGGTTTGAATTGTGGAGGGATTCCCGGCCTGTGGTCCCATTTCATGTTAATAAAAAGGACATTAAAAAAAAAACAAAAAAAAAACGAATGGAACGCCAGCCAATGATCAATCAACGAATCAATCAACCGATGAATCAAACAGCGAATCGCTCGTCCAACTAATCAAAACCGTCCAACTAATCAATCGTTCAAGCGTCCAACCAGTCACTCTTTTTGTAGTATAGTATTATATTTTATAAAGAAAGTTTAAAATAAAGAAGAGTTTAAAGTTTAAATCAATTCATGCGTTTGTTTTAGGTTCGCATATACACTATTGTACAGACATTCCTATTATCCAATCAACCATTTAATCGTTCAGAGTCTTCAGACCATGCTCTTTTCTTAGTTTTTCAACTTGTTCTTGTCTTCTCTTCACCCTAGAAAAGAGCATGACAGAGGCGTCATTCCCCCCTTCCCGCCAAGACTTTCCCGCCAAAACATACGGTGGTGAATTGTTGATTGTCCTTTTCCAGTGCTGATTGTTAGCATCTTAAAATCTTCCCGCCAATTGCGCGTCTCCCCGCCAATTGTGCGTCTTCCCGCCAATTGCGCGCCCCCATCCCACTTTGCCCCCGTTCTCCCTTTCCCCCGGATAACCGCAGGAGTCCCCTCCTCTCCCTCCCTGCTCTACATCGCCAAGTAAAAGAAAAAGAAAAAGAAAAAAGGAAGAAAAAGAAAAAAGAAAGAAAAAGAAAAAAGAAAAAACAAAGGGACGTCTCGATCGACAATGCAGCCCAATGGGGGAGGGGACTGATGACGAGGAGTTAATTGGCTGTCTGCCATCGACAGCAAAAGATGAATGGGGGAGGGGAGAAAAGGGAGGGAGAAGAAAGAGGAGGGTAGAAAAGGAAGGTAGGGAATTGAAGTGAGGCGGTAAGAGGAAAAGAGGGAGGGAGGGAGGGAGGGAAGCAAGGGAGGGATTACACGTAGGACCACTAGCTTCACAGTGGAGGCGAGGCAAAGCTACAAAGGATGAGCCCGCCTTTTTGTTGTCGTCGTCGACATTTCGCCTTTTTGTTTTATCGTCCACCCGTTGAAGGGATGACAACCATGTGAACACTTTTTTCTTTTTTCTTTTGTTTTTTGGGCCCTTGTCGTTGCCCGCTCTGCTGCCATCTTTTTCGTCTCTCTTCCCTGCTGATTTCTCTCTTTCTTTTTTTCTTGGGTTGGTCTCCTCTTTTCTTTCATAGTTTTCCTCTCCCTCTCGTTTGTCATGTTTGTGGACGCTGAGGTCACCCATCCCAGTAATATTTCGCCACAGCGGCGCTTGGCACAGTTTCTCGATTTATGCCTTTTCGTTCCCCTCCTCCTCGCCTTCCTCTTTGTCCTCGCTGGCTGCTTCCTTTCTTCCTGATCTCCTCCTGTCCTCCTCCTCTCCTCCTCCTGTCCTCTCCACTCCTGTTCTTATTCCTCCTTTCCCCCACTCCTCTCTTCTTCCCCACTCCTCTCTTCTCCTCCTCTCCTCCTCTCGTCTCGTCCTCCTTATCTCCTCTTCTCCTCTTCCTCCTGTCGTCCTCTCGATCTCTCCTCTTTTCCACCTTCCCTCCTTCATGGCCATGTTCCACTTCCCTTCTTCGTCCTGCTCGTGCTCATCTTCTTCCTCCTCCTCGTAATGCTCCTTCTCCTTCTCCCTGCTCTTCTTCCTGGTCATCCCGCATTGAAGCCCTCACCATCTCCTCCTCTCCTCCCCCTGTCAACCCTGACCTCGCTCTGCTGTTTTGTGGCGACCATTCGGCCTGACAGGTCAGGATATGGAGCATGGTCCCTCTTGTGGACAAAGAGGCGGAAACGGATCTGACCACACCGAAAGCGCTGGCTACGCTGTGCGATCATTTTGCAGCCGTGAATGTTGTCCGATGGTCGCGAGCTGGAAGGTATATCGCCTCAGGATCGGATGACCATATCGTGTTTGTGTACGAGCGAAGGCCGGGGAGCGGAACTGTGGTATTTGGAAGCAGAGAAAAGCCGGATGTGGAGAACTGGAAGGCTGTGATCACACTGCGAGGGCACACTGCAGATGTGGTTGGTTAGCTAGCCTTCACCCTTCATTGGTGCTTTCGTCCTTGGCTATGCTAGAAAGAATGAAAGCACTTGGAACAGTTGCTTGGCTTGGCATCTCCCTCCCTCCCTCCCTCTGTCCATCCCTCCCTCCCTCCCTCCCTCGCTCTGTCCGTCCCTCCCTCTGTCTCTGCAGCGCGCCTGACTTCTTCCAGATGTGGTTGGTTTGCTACCTTCTTCACCCGAATACAACGTACGGCAATTATTGCTGTATTTAGACTCTAAGATACCCCAAAATACAGCTATAATGACCGTACGTTGTCTTCGGGGGAAGAAGCTAGCCTTCATTGGCGATTTTGTCCTTGGCTACGTTAGAAAGAGAAAAAGGAGTCAAAACAGCTGCTTGGTTTTGCACCTCCCTCTCTCCCTCTCTCCCTCTTTCCCTCTCTCCCAGAAGCTAGCCTTCATTGGCGATTTTGTCCTTGGCTACGTTAGAAAGAGAAAAAGGAGTGAAAACAGCTGCTTGGTTTTGCACGTCCCTCTCTCCCTCTCTCCCTCTCTCCCTCTCTCTCTCTCTCCCTCTCTCCCTCTCTCCCTCCCTCTCTCCCTCTCTCCCTCTCTCCCTCTCTCAGCTTTTATTCCCCCCTAACCACTGACATCTGGCAGGCTGACCCCTGCTTCATTGTTAGCAGAGTCGCTTTATATCTTTCTTCCTCCCTCTGTCTCCTTCTCCTGCCTTACTTCGTCTTTGATTAGGAGGAGCTCGGCTAGCATTTCCTACCACCAGTGACATTGACAGTCAGGCCTTGGCATGTTGGCAGAGGACATCCATTCTCACTCCCCCTACTCAATTTTTTTTTTTTTTAATAGACAAAAAATCTACTACCAAACACCTCAGTTCGAGTGGGGGGTCTGAGGGGTGCATCTTTCATGTTGATTAGAAGCAGCTCAGCTTGAACCCCCCCGCCAACCTCTGACATCTGCAGCAGTCTGACCTCTGCATGTCAGCGGAGAACCTCATTCTCCTCCCCCCCCCCCCCCCCCCCCCCCCCCCCCCCCCCACCAGCACCAAATTCTACTTCCTACCAAAACGTGTGAGAGAGAGCAGCAGTACAGTTTCGAGGGAAGCACAATTTGGTAGGTAGTACAATTGAGCGGGGGTAATGAGAATGAGGCTCTGTGCTAGCTTGTAGAGGTCAGTCTGCTGCACATGTCAGTGGGTAGTGGGCCCTGCAAGCTGAGCTCCTCCTAATCAAAATGTGAATGGAGAAAGATGTAACTGCGTCTCCTTGCCACCGGTGGGTAAATTCAATTGTAATTGTATCCCTAGTATGTATGCCCTACAGAAGAAATTACCGTAATGTACCACCTGCGGTAACTTCTTCTTTATGTACCACCTATGGTAACTTCTTCTGTGCGAATTCACTGCGGTAACTTCTTCTGTGCGAATTCACTGTGGTAACTTCTTTGTAGGGATACATTACGGTACGGGGAAGTATATTACGGTAGCTTCTTCTATGTGGATGCCATGGGATGGGATCTCTGTGTCGCAGTAGTACCGTTGTTTTTTTCCATACTTGCTGTGCACTTCTGTGGTGTGCATGCGCCATGCGCAAATTAGTGATGCGCTCACTTTTTTTTTTTTTTTTTTTTTTTTTT